GATTGAATTACAGGTTATTTGAGTCAGGACTGACCTGTAATTCAAGAAAGTAAAGGAGGTGAGAATATAAGCAAAGGACAGATATTTTAAAAAGAAACAAACCAGAAATTATACATGTAAAGGAATATATTCATCCTTCAAAAGAGTCAACACAATAGTAATTCATAATCTCTTAGATCACAGTTAGCCACGAAAAGGAGTTTTAGAAATTCCCTTCTGGAAATGCCTTTGACTCCAGCAGCAACATTGTTTTTAACATACTCATGATTGACAAATCTCCGTCTTTTGAGGTCCAAAATTGATTATTTGGAAAGCCAACAGCTATTCAAACTCAGGTGAGGGAAATAAAACTAGTCAAACGAGGATTACTAAAACATAGTAAAACTACTTCTCTTCTGACACTTATTATTAGCCTTAAAGGCAATGAAGTACATGAAGTTTTGAAACTTCTTCAAGGGACTGAAAAAAAAAATTAAAGAAGGAAAATGTGAAGAATCAAACTTGAAAAACTTGACAAGAAAAAAATGAAATATAAATCTTATAAACATAATTGCAAATTAACAAAATATCCTATTCTGAAAAATGTGTTAAAAATCAAGTGAGAAGTCAATACACAGTTTTTCAAAGAAGCATTATAGTACGTGGTGGGTGGACTTCAGGCTTCCTACCGGTCTGAGGACTAAACAGTGCTAAAAGCATATACAACCAATTGCCTCTTATAACAAAGTCTCTATAGGAAAAATGTGTTGCAAGTGCCAAATTGGATACTTTGAGAATTTGGTGTCTTGTCAGGATTGGGATGGTTTATCCTTTACACCAGACTACCTTCAGACTACAACTTTTTAAGATTCTTTTTCTGCTTTTGACTAATCACCACAGTATCTTTCACAAATAGCTTTAAGCCCTCTGTTGAATGAATGTTTTACTTGGGAACATGAACTCCTCTCTATATAAAAAGTATCAGGGCTATTTTTACCCTATCAATTGGAAAAAATCCATAGAAAGTACAAGCTTTGTCTATAAGGTGTCAACCACAACTATTTGAAAGTTGAAATTGTAACCCAGTTTTTATCCATATGAATTGCCATTTTCTTTTTTCCTTAAGTAGTAGTTTGATTTGCTAAATAAATTTTGGCACTGCATTGGTATAATCATTGATTTAATGCTACCTACACATTCTGTGGTTTTTCATGGCTCCCCTGCTCAAATATGCAATTACAGAGATAAATACAATTATCATATGTAAGGCATTGAGTTAAGTAACAGGAAAGATACAAACTATGAACCAAGGTTAAGCTCTCAAGTAACTTCTCTCTGGTAAAACCTCAGTAAATGACTGAATG